CTTCTCCTGACCATGCCTTTCAGAGATTTCCTGTAACAATTCAAGAACTTAGTAACTATGTTTCATTACCAAGATCCTATAACCCCTGTAGATCCATAGCTTGCAGACCAATATCTGCCCAGTATGACACAATATGGAAAAGTGAGGCTAATAGCTTCAATTAAGCTAGTGTTTAAAGTGGTGATTCTCAACCAGGGTGCCATGAGATCCTTTTAAGGGTGTTGTACAATATTAGCACTGTTAGGTGTGCAGATGTGATTCACAAGACAAACCCAGAGATTCCAAATAGGAATCCACAGCATCAAACACCTTTTAACTTGCTGTGATCTTTCAGAGCTCTTTGCAACAGAAAAATGCTCTATTATTTTTGTGTAGTCAAAAAACAAGTGAAAGGTAAGAGCTGGGATTTTCTCAGGGGTGTTGTGATTCTAACAAGGGGTTCCTTGCATCTAACCACATCGACAACCTATAAATTAAACTATTAGCTCTCCTTTACAGCATCTGGAATTGTACCCATGTAAGGGAGCACAGAATCATTTTTGGTTCTCTAATTTTTCTCCACTCATTATTCTGGTTCTTTAGGCCCAGGCTCACAGCCCCAGTGCTGGCAGAGCTGCCAGGCAAATCAATAGGAGTTTTACCTGTGTCTGGACTGGAAGATCGGGTCCTTCACTGTATCGTATACCAGAGGCTTGCCATTAACAGAGTGCCATGGAATTTTCAAAGGAGGCCCCACACTGCACCGAGAGAGATCGTGAAAGCCTGTGGTCAAGAATAATTAAAAGGTTCAAACAAGACATTTTACCCTGTAGCCTGCATGCCACACTTTATTTTATTTCACGAGCCATATGCTTTGGTTTTGATCCCATCTTCCCTAACCTCACATAAGATAAGGGAATGCTTTACAGTTTGGAAGGAATTTCCCAGGGTCTTTCTTTCATTAGCCCCAAGCAAGATGCCTACGGCAGAGCACGTGCGCAAGGGCTGCGAATGCTTTCTCCATGGCAATCTTCCATAGTTTCACTTGAAGATAGCACTGTCAACGTTTTAAAAAAATGACAGTTGTGAGACCCTTGGTCTTTGAAATCTCCTAAGCACTTTTCGATAATGGAAAGCTCAGGTTGTTAACTATAATAGAAGTCCTGCCATCGCCATCAAACAACAGATAATTCCACGCGGCTCCCTTCTGAAGTTCTAGGAACCACCCACTAAATCTTTATTGCAGCTGAAACTTAATTCGCTCTTCAGGGGGGAGAAAAATAAAGTCCTGTTTCTGTCTCAAATGATCTCGAGGAAGAGACTTTTTCCTTGTTCTCTGTGTAAGCAGGAATTTGCTGCAGGACATCCGCTACAGCAGGGCCTAGGCTCCGCTGAAAAAGATCAGCCTTTTTCGAGACATTCCCTGGATGCTAGTTGTAAAACTCGCTTTCATGTGTAGACGCAGGGAACCTTTCCAGAGCAGCCCGCATGGAAAAAATATTTCAGATGCGAGTGCTGCCAACCTTTCATAGGGCGTTTTTTTTTCAGTATCAATCAGGCTAAAGGTTTTATATGTATGTAGAGAGAGAGCGAGCGCGATGTATGTATTCAGTCATCTGTGGTTTGGAGAGAAAAGCGCTCAGCTCGGTCAGGGCTGGGAGCGCTCCCATGAAAACGTGAGAGGCTCTTTTGGGGGGGACGCGACAGGCAGCGCTGCCCCGGCCGCCCTGCCCTCTCGGCCTTGGCATCTCCCCCGACGGCCGCAGCGGGGGCGCGGGCAGCCGGGGCA